TTAAGAGCCAGGGGCCAAAATACTACTGGCACTTTATACACATGAATAAGGAAAACTGTGTAAATTTTCATGGTGCTAAATTGCACCTGGTTAACCATACTCGCTTGTGCAATGCCCAGGAATGTAACCAGAAGATAATGGATGACAGTTTACAACTAAAATTTGTTATCTCCCTTACACACAAGTTTAAATCACCAGTAGGATTCTGGTCAATGGATGACATTTGACCTCTTCATAATTTGAAAAAGGTCATCACTCTAACAAAGGCTGGATAGACTGTACCTGATGCTTTTGAATGCAGCTCCTAGATGCCCCAGTCAGCATAGCCAATAACAAGAGGTTATGGAAGTTATAGTCCAAAACATCTACAGAACCAAAGTTTCCTCCAGAACTTTTCCTAAGAACACACTACTGAATACTAACATATCTCAGCTGCATCACTCCAACAGAGAGCTGCAGGGTCTCTCATATCATTTTTGGTAGTGTAAGTCTGCAATTTGTCCCAGGACACCATCCCTAAAAGATGGAGCACAAATAACTATAATTATTATATTGCCCCATTTCTCAATTCTGGACATAGCTCAAGATTACAAGTCTGCATTTTAGGCTAATATTCAAATTGCCCTATCAGACCACACACCAGATATTACATAGTTCCTTCCCACCTCAAAAGAAACCATGAAATAAGGAAATGTATAACATGTTGCTGAAATTGGTCCATGACTGTACACATGGCCACACAAGCATGCCCAGTTCTAATAGCATAATAGTGATAATAAAATCCCTACAGAATGCAAAGAGACAAAGTCAAACTCCTGTAGAAGCTTGAGTCAGTCTTGTGTTTCAACATAATGTACATTTAAGGAGCTTCTGTTCCCACAGAGTAATCAACATTTGAACTTTCATCTTATCTTTATTCTTTCTCCCTTCTATCACCAATACTGCTCCCTCCTTTCCTAATTTTGAGACGTCATCTTTCCCTCAAAATTTTTTTCTCCATTATAAAGAAGTTTCTACTTACAGGTGGAACCATTTCGCCCAATAGCGACATTTGCTAGAACATACTATCAAGAGTCAATTGATTGATTCATTGACTGACTGACTGACTGATTTTTTATACCGCCCATCTGGCTATCAAGGCCACTCTGGGTGATTTACAAATACCATCATTATAAAACAACAGAAGCTTTAAACTTGTTTTGTAACCTAAGACCTTGAAAGAACTTTCAGGGTTGTTGAGGCTAATCACCAGTCATTGGCAGAATGCCCAAGGCCTTATTTGGAGAGAAGGTCCAAAAGACAGTTAACACAATGTGCTTCTTGACTGGACCACTCCTATCACCATTGACAAAATGGAAAACAAAAGTCATACTTGGATTTTAAATTAAAAATGCACAAAAACAAACTCACCCACCACATGAAAGTCATGAGAAATCATGCATAGCCTAAAATATTTTCTGAAATACAGTACCTCTTTGTATCTAAATCATACATCCCGGATCCAAGCTCTCTCCCTCTATATCATTATAGGATCTAAGAAGAAAGCAGTAGAGCCCAGAAATGCGAGGTGCCATATTCTATGTATTGCAATTAAATTGGCTGCATTTTATTACTTTCTTTTTTAAAACCTTCCTTAAATAGGGCACATTTAGCCTTTCTCAACATGCTGGATTTTATTCTATACAAAACTATGCAAAACTAAAAAAAAACCATTTATGTGAAAGAGTAAAGCCCTCATAGAGGATGCCATAGGCATCTGTACCTTTCATCTTATAATAATCCAGCACAAGCATGCAGACTACTTCCCATCAACCTCCAGCAAGTAAGTTACTGAATGTGATGGTGAGGAGGGAACATGTATTCTCTGCCTTCTCCTGGACAGAGATACAGCCATGAACAGCCCTAGAGATGGGCACAAACCTTGGTTCGGAGGTTCATGCCAGTAAATACGCATGACATCACAGGTGCCACACATTCCCTTCCCCCGCCTCCCCAGCTAGATCCCCTACTCACCAGCCAGCATGCCCTCTGCTCAACCTCCTCCTCTTTGGCTGTTCTGATAGGAGCACGGGCTTCCTTGCCTCACCTCCTTGGCTTATCACCCACTCACACATGGAGGCAGGCTAGGCAAACCTATGCTCCTAGTCAAGCAGCTGAAAAGGAGGACGAGAGGAGCGTGCTCCAAATGGTGAGTGGATAATTGGCCGGGAGGTGAGGGAAGGGAACAGGCAATGCCTGTGCTGCCGAGGGTATGAACCAGCACAAACCTATGAATCAAGGTTCGTGCCCCTCTCTAAAGAGTCCAGATTTTGACTTTTGGTTGCATTAAGATTCCGACATAGGGAGATCTATTGAAGATAGACCAAGTGCAGAAAGATCTAGTGGAGATAAATCAGATGCACAAAATGGTTTCAGAGGGCATGAAAGATGGCAGAATGCTTAGAGAGACAGAAACAAAAAGTGAAAAAAGAGAAATAAGAGAGGGAATTACTTAGAAAGATGAAAAAGGGAAAAATAGGAAGGGGGCCCTTAATGTTCAAAAGCATATATATATCTAACTTTGGGAATTGTAAAGGAGCATATCTTTTATATTAAAAAGGAGAATTAAATTGAAATAAGGGAGCATTAACCAGGGTAAAGACGTAATACGATGAGTTTTCTTTTTAGGTAAATTAAACTAGGTATAAGGATGGGGCATGGATCTGGAACGACTTTTATTAAGTATGTTACTAGAAGATCTTGAGAACATTGTACACTATGAAAGTAATATTATGATAGTAGCCAATATTCTATACTAAAATACATACATTAATGGTTTGAATGTTTGGAAGATGTCTGGAATTTGGGGGGACAATTGGGAAGACACTGAGATGTAAAAAACAAATAACTGTAAGCAAATCATGTAACATGATGTTTGACAAGCACAAATTAAATGTAGATAGAGTGCAAAACTAATAAAATGTATTTTTAAAAAAAGATTCTGACATAGGGCAATTACAAACTGCCATGTGACCTGCCTGTCCTTCTCTGGGTTGCTAAACACAGGTGTCTACCCATTTCAACATGACAGTAACAAGGAAGGATACCTTTTCCCACTACAGTTTATCCTGCTGCAAGATTTTTTTCTTAGATATGCCATAAAGAATTATGTGGAACAGTGTCATTCTGCTCAGAGCCTTCAGACACACTCTCTTTTCACATACATTGGCTGAAATCCACTTGCACAGTTACGCAAATGGTGTAACGCTTAGACATGAATTGCCATAAATTAAGAATCTCTGTAGGTATTATCTGTTGCATGCTGGATTCCGTGCTTCAGGCTGCATCAGATAATGTCTATGGAGATTTCTTAACTTAAAGCCATTTGCTTCCAAAAGCTACATCATTTGTGTAACTATGCAACAAGATTTCGGCAACTGTATCCCAAAATACATGTACTTCCAAATATTTCATTATTATATTAGGCAAACCTAGTAAATGAGAGGTACACAAAAGGCATTGTTGGGGGTGGGGAAAGAATGTCAGCAGTTAAAGTCAAATGAAATTCTCCATCTCAAATGATGACCTGGTTTCACTAAATAAAGGTAAAAAGATTAAAACCAGGAAAGATACATTAGTTGTAGCTACAATCATATGGTATGAGATGCAATATTTAAAAACTGCCAAATAAAACATTGTTTAATTTTTTAAAGACACTATACACATAAAAAGTTATATGTTGGCCATAGTACCACCGCACCACCTGCTTGCACAACAACTGCATGTAATAGTTGGAGGTGGTGCTTACAGTGAGCATCTTGTATGAGTTCTCTCTGATCATCACTCCAAGCGGTCATACATGCCACATTAAACTTTTAGAGGGAGGGAGGGAGGGAGGGAGAGAG